TAAATATACACAGTACGCACGTATATATTATGTAAACAAAAACTTTTATTTTGGATGCGATTAATCGCAATTAATCGTTTGACAGCACTAGTTGTAATATATTATATCTTGTTGTAAATAATTATAACCTATTTTAAAATGCATAGTGTAACAATGTATTGAAAAGTGTTGTAATGTATTAACTGTGGTTTCAATTATTCATGAGATTGTACAATGCATTATAAGGTGCATTACAAGGCATAATTAATGCATTAAAACTACTTTTATAATGCATTATACATAAAGGCTTAAAGTAAAGTGTTACGTAAAAAATATATCATAATTAATAAATTAACATTTGTGGAACAGGGTGGAAAAAACTTAATTTCTTCATTTGAATTGCAAATCAATAAATACCTTTTGCAGTCATTCCAATTCAAACTCCAGTTCAAGAATCGGGGCGTGACATGAATTTTAGATCTGCATGAAATACAGTGGTTCAAATAGTAAGATGCAGAATTTTAATTGTAATTTAAATGTAAAGAAGTAATGAAAATGATTACAAATTCAAAAGATTTTCAGTAATGGATGAATGGATGGATGAGTAGATCATAGATATTTCGTAATATTTCATAAATTAACATTTGTGGATCAGGGTGGAAGAAAACTTCATTTTCTAGAACCCGTGTCATATTGCAGTTCAATAAACTCCTTTTCCATGTCATTCCAATTCCAATTCCAGTTCAAGATTTCAAGAGTAAGTTACAGTGAGGTCTTTTGTTGCATCGTCTCCAACCTTATCACATGTTGTTTGTGTCGTTTCCTCTCAGTGACGACAGACCCACCGACTGATGTGACCGTGAGCCGAGTGGGCGACCTGGAGGACCAGCTGACTGTGCGCTGGGGGACACCGCCTGCATTAAAAGACTTCCTCTTTCAGGCCAAATACCAGATCAGATACAGACTGGAGGAAAGCAGCGACTGGAAGGTATGGTAGCGCTCTCGATCAGTGAGCACACGTCATCGGCTCTCTGTCCATTATCCTGATTACTATTACCATCTTCCCACTTCCACACCCACTTGTTTTTGTAATGCAAACTGTGTATGCATGCATGAGTTAGTGTCAGTTTCTCGATTTTAAAGCATTTGCTTAGATTAATTAGAGCGGTTCAAAAGATAACAGCTATGTTTCAGTAGAATTTGGAGTGTTTGTATTACTTGTCCGAAACGTCATTTCCAGCTGTAGCAGAACAGCACATGGTTTCCAGTCCTCTGGCCACGGAAGAGTCCGGCTAAACTTTAGGGCTTCAAATAAACTTAAGCTTTCGCTGTCCCCATTTCGCTCATATGGATCCAATCAGTTGGCAGGTTTCCTTCTGAAGCTGGGCAGAGTTGGGTTACATCATTTTTTTCCCCCTTACCCATCATTGTGCTGTCAGATGCGCAGTCCTACATAGTTAACAAAGTCAAAATATGACAGTGACCATCAAAAGCACATCACAGCAGACGATCTATTGTTTTCAAAACGCGTTTAGAGAGCTGTATTATCACCCGGGCCGTTCTCAAACCCACAGATTGCTTACACAGCCTGTGAGAAGGGAAATAATTACCCAGCATGCCTGTTACACGGCAACCTGATGATGTTAACATTCTGCCACTCATCACGTTCCAATAGTAATGATGGTCCTCGGATTACAGAGCCGTGCATATTAACCGTGTTTGAAGTTTTTGAAATGTGAGTCTGGAAATGGACCGTGGACTGGAAAGGGACTGATTCAGGGGTACCAGGATTGTAAATAATTACAGGGGGCCCAGGCCGTTTCAGCATTCCTGCATTCGAATCCCATATACCTCTGCTTTAATGCACAGGAAGGAGGAAGCACCGAGGCTGGCATGGCACTGTCTGCATGTCGTTGATGCTGTCTGCGAACCGTGCAATTACTCAATCTGTAATAAGCAATAGATAACAGATTTTCTCTCAGGGTAGTGTTGGTGCTCGTCGTGTATATGTAGAGCCAGAAGGTAGACCAATTATTTATGTGTGTGTCCCTGTTATTTACCTCCTGTCTTTGTCTCGGATATATGTTGTATATCCCCTAGGAGCACAAAAGGGGGACATTTCTTTGTTCTTCTTCTTTGTAGATGAGCTTGTGTGAACTTGCTTAAGGATTTTGAAAGTGAATGGCTTTTTTTTTTCTTCTTATAGAGAACATTAAATATGCCCGTTAGGGTAACAGTGTGTGTGTGGTATGTGGCCGCTGTAGGTGTTTGATGTAACAGACTGTTTTGGGTGTCTTTCTCTGCAGGTGGTGGATGATGTTGGGAACCAGACTTCCTGCAGGCTCGCAGGGTTGCAGCCAGGCACGGTGTATTTCGTGCAGGTGCGCTGTAATCCGGTCGGGATTCTGGGATCTAGGAAAGCAGGCATTTGGAGTGACTGGAGTCACCCAACTGCAGCCTCAACACCACACAGTGGTAAGAGAAATATCATTGAAGTGATCCTTGCAAAAGAAGGTACTTAGAAACTTTTTAGGAAACTATTTTTTGGATGTTTTCTATGCTAATACTATGGTTTTTTTTAAGTACCTTGTGAGTACAATGGTAAATATCAAAGTACAAAGATATCACTTTTTTTTTTTTTGTAAGGTTTCATAGCTTTAGTTTATACTTTTCTAGTTTACAGTAGAAAAGAATACTATTTCTGAATTTTGAACTCTAACAATAACACATCCCAAATTAGCTTTTTGTTGATTGGTATAAAACCAGATCCATGTTCAAAGTCATTGTAAAATGGAGATAAATGTAAATGCACACAAATGATCAATTTCCGTTAACATATTCTGTTAACGTGTATTTATTATAATTTTTTTTTTTGCATGCTTGGCAACCACAAAAAAAACTCTATAGCTAATGAACTATATTACATGGTGAAAGTAATGGTTATTTTGATAATTATTATTAAAACTACATTAGTGAGCAATGAAAAATACTTATAAAGCATTTTTAATCTTATTGTTAATTTAAACATTTATTAATTTTATCATTAGTAAAATCAAAAGTTGTACCTGATAATACAGTTTAACATGAAATGACAATGAACAGTTAAATATGCATTAACTAAAGTTAAGAAGTAAAGTTGAAGGATTGCTCATTGTTAGTTGAAGTTTTTATTGAATTTACTAAATTTAACTAATGGGATACGATAAAGAGTTACCAATTCATTTTGTAAAAGCATTAACCAACATTTTTAACATGGCTAAGTTGATTAGACACTTTGGCTTTGTGAAATCAATGTTAATATAATATAAATAATATTTTCAGAAAAAAAATACACACAATGTATTTTGCTTTTCCGCTATTACATTGTATTGGAAGATCCATTCATGCAGATTATGAAAGTGTATAATTATTTAAAACTTGGACTGATCGAAATCATGGCCTAGCAGTTTTGTAGTGCAACGGGCCTCATTTGGGAAATATGGGTTTTGATTCCAGCTTGCATTATATATATAAATCCCTCTCCCAATTTTTTCTGCACTTTAAAAAATGCTGGGTTGTTTCAACCCAACTTTGGGTCAAATATGGACTAACCC